AACTTAAAAGCGTCTGCTGATTCCACGAAGCTATGTTATGGTAAGAGATCTACTCAAGTCAGCTTTGTACCAGGAGACAAGGTGTGGTTGTATAATCCCAAAAAGACCAAAGGGAAGTCTCCTAAGTTGTCTTTTCCATGGGAAGGCCCATATTACATAGTGGATCGTCTCTCAGATGTGACTTTCCAAATTAAATGTGGTCAGCGAGGTAAGGCAAAGGTGGTGCATGCTAACAGGCTTTGGCATTATCATGGTCCAGGACATTTCAGTTGGAATGAAATGAATAACGGAACAAATGACGCTGCTGAAGATGTGTCATCTGAAAAAGCCACTGTTGGAGAAGAAACTCTACCTGGTTTTGAGAAGGAAAACAGTGAAGCCGTTAATGAAGTTACTACCACTAATATGACTGCTACTGATAATGGGACATTTCCTAATGGAGCAGATGAATCCCATGTGAAGCAGAAGCCAATTACACAGAGACCAGTATGAAAGAAGAAACGTCCTATAAAATTAAGAGACCTTATTGTACTTGTAAATTCTGTACATTTAATCAAGTTATTGTTAATTAGCTATTGGTTTAATGTAAGTAGCTATTGTTCGAGACGAACAATACTAAGGAAGGGGCAGTGTTACGACAGCGGAAGTCACGTGACGCTGCTACCGCATGCGTGACTGAGCTTCTCGAATTATTGGGGAAGCTTGAGACGCCTCTTTATTAGTATATAAGCCTGGCGAGAAGTGCCAGTGGCATTGAATGTATGGTTAAGCGAACAGTAGTTACGGTTGTTCGGGTAATTTACGAGTCTGTTTCGAGATAGTGTGTGTTTGGCACTCGTAGAGAGCGAAGTTATCGAGATTGTGAATCCTTGTGATTTATTGCGTGTATTATAAAAGTTGTTAAGTTTAAAGTGACGAGAAACGTACTGACTGTGGAATTACTGTGTACTAAAAGTTTGTATCGAGAAAGAATAAACTGATTTAATAAAGAAAGGACTTGTATCGCTGAAGTTCCTCGGAAAGAATTTCTATGGGATATTAACAAACAAGCAGATACGTGACAATATTTCTGAAATAGATATGCCATACATTAATATATATGAAATAAAAATGAATAAAGGAAGTACGTTAATTTCCACATAGGCTTCAAACTTTTTTCAGTTTGATAGCTATACGAAGAGAAGATCGATTTGGAGTGATGATTAGGTTCAGTTGTGAGAATACGCTCTCACATTCGCCAGATGAAATCGGTATGAGGTCAATGGTCCTTTGTAATGAACAAACACTCTTAGAAAAAGTGGGACATTTTCTTCTTTAAAAAAAATGCACCGAAACGTTGTTCCGGATCGTTCAGTTACAAATTAAGCGCTGCTTAAACCTAATCTTGGAAGATGTGTGGTCTATTATTGACTTCACCATCTTTCACACAAGCTTGTTACAATGGAAATTGCAGTGTTGGATAACACGGTATCACTATAATCATGACCATTATATTCCTAGAGAGCATGATAAATAAGGGAGGTAAGTTCCAAAATAGTACATGATCTTGAACATTTTTTTTTTACGAAATGCAACTAACCTTATTAATATGTTTTTAAGTGGGATGTCTAGATAAAGCTTTCCAGAAATTCCACCTAGATATTTTTAACAATAGGGTATAAAGATATGTAAGCAAAAAAACAACAAAAAACCTAAGATATATTTGTTCACTTAAAGTTCCATTAACTCAATGTGCATGGGTGGGGGTCAAAGTGTGTATGCTATGATCTTTTACAGAGTGCTATTCAACATGGTATTATGTATTTGATATCCGAGTTATCAGCTATACATTTTACCCCAAATTGATGAGTTAGCAACGGTTTGTTGTAGAGGATATTAAATACAAGATACAATACACAGGGATACTAAAAAAAAACAAACTGTAGAGATGCATTTTGAAGGTTTTAGAGGCTATGAAAATGCAATATGCAAGCTGTAAGATGGTCAAAAGTATTTTTATTTTTCAAATTAACATCACCTTATACTCAAACTTGTTTGTCTCAATCAGACTGATGTCATCAATTCAGACACATCTTGAATATAAATACTTTAAGTTATAAGCCACGATCATCAGTGAACACACAGTTTTTGTTTGAAAGGAACTTAAGTTTTATTTGGTTTAGAAAGATTAATGCCCTTGATATACAAGCTTTCCCAAGTGTCCCAAACTAAAAGCACAGCAGTCACTTCTTAACAACAACAACAACAAAAAAAAACCAGGTGTTATATACTTCAGATTTACATCCACATCCAAAGTGTCACTAGTTTCCTAGTGCCATACTATTCATGTTTTTAAATATCGATCAGCCTAATTCCAACATTGATACAGACATTTATGATTTATAGATGTTCTTGCATTTGAACAACCATGGTAACATGATACATAAATATCATAGTTTTAATTTTTTAAGATTTGTTGGTGAAAAATGTGTTAAATATATACTGTCCATTATCTGATTTTTTCCCAAAGCAATGAAGTGCAGGTTCTCACAAGAGTATATCTTGGTGTTTAATTATTACTTTTTTTTATATATCTCAGTGAAAACAACTTATAATAAGAAACACCCCCATATGATTTGTTACAAAAAAAAAGATAAAAAGTATACTATCATCAGAATCTTCTTTAATTTTATTCTGGTCAGTATTGAGGGGTGGTTTTTTGATGATCTTAGAGAAAATGTATTACAATACACACCACTTCTTCCTTATACCTATTAATAACCTAAAAACACTGAAGAAACATATATATAGATATAGTTTTGATCATACTACATAACTAACAAAGTTAAAACAACGACAGAAAAATGGTTGTTCGTATACATTCAAGTTGGTCATCTTACTGAATTTGTGAAAGATTTCATAAGAGGATGAAAACTGAAAAGTAGAATATATACATCAAAGTTAATAAGCAATGAAATGGTTCAGTAAGTTTTAAAAGTTCAAAATGCACAAAAATGGCTATTACTAAAACAAACTGAAATTATATCAAAATGGTTGAAAAAGTAACTAACACCCAACTTAGAAAAATGTTCACGTGATCCAAATTGTAAACAAAAAATGATACTATGATGACTATCAAATTATCCTAAAAATTACTAAGTGCAACATACAGAAAAAAAACAAATACAACAGAGAATATTAAACTCATTAATAACCCGTCATTTCATAAAGTTCATTTATCTTAATAGTAATTGCTGATGATATATATGTATATATATACGTCTTGATATATTTCACGTGTAGCATACTTAACACAGATTTTCCCAAGCTTTCAATGAGTTGTAGTCTGGTTGTATGATGTTGCTCTAGTAAATGTCAATTAAAATCTCATAATTAAACTTTGAAACATGAAGAAAACTAATTGTTTGTGCTATAGTGATCTTAGAGTTCCAGATTTTTTCTCCAATCAAGGTTGTTTTAGGAGTAAAACTGAAGCTATCATAAAATATAGTATGAAATTCCTATATAATTTTAGGTTTTAACCATATTTTGAAAATGTTAATGTATTTGTTAAATATATTACCTGCAGTAATTAATATAAACTTATTACAAACATCACGAGATAATTTCAGAGTTAGATCTTGTTATACTTTTTTTTAGATTATTTTCTTTTCACATCAAAATTTTGTAACTCGCTCCCAAATTGTGTGAATTAGATAGATGACGTTTTCTACAAATTTTATATTCTACAATTATCTATTATTTTCAGTGCATAAAAACTAAATGTCACCCAGAAGAAGATGGTTAAGATACCATCCACTCAATTATCTTGCAAAGACTTGAATTTCTTTAAATCTCACACGTACTTGTAACAATCATAATATTGATACAAAGTGAAACAAGCAAAACAGCGTACTGCCACAGTTCGTATTTTCTTAAAAGTGAGAATGTTCTAATAATGGCTTGTTTTAAAAAAAATCATTACGAAACTTAAACATAATTTCTCCCACACAAAAATGGACACCTGATGTCATGGTCAGTATTATTATTAGTAACTAACAAGTAGTTATTAAGAACTGGCTCTCATTTGGTGCAATCGAGCAGGTGGGGTTCAGTAAAACCACAAAAACTTTATGTCCCAGCTAATTTAAAGCTTATATAATAATACAAATTTCACTTAAACAAAATTAATGTTACACTTTGTTAAAAACAGCAAAGTAAATAAAGCCACCAAACTAAACAGATGTTTACAGGATCTATGTTTATGTGTGTTGTAACCTAGCCCTTGAAGTTACTTAACATCATAGGAATTGGAAATGTTTAGTCAAATCCACAATTGCTTTTTTAAACAAACTGAAACACCCTAGACCTGTACAGTTTGAGGTATTACAGCTGTAGTTAATCAAGGGTTTACACAATATTAAACTTTCTTTATAAATTGAGCTATTTTGCCATTCTTATGGAATTTCTATTCAGCATGCAATATAGAATTGGTGATCAATTGTTAAAACAGCAATAAAAGCTTAACTGAAGTGTAATAAATAAACAAACAAGTTTGTCCACTCTCAAAATGACATCTTACAAAAATGTTTAAGTTTATTAAGGTACCATGAGTAAAATTAATCATATCACTAGTTAAGCATAACATAGGATACTGTATATACAGGGTTGGTATCCTCTAAGAAAGGATACTGACTTATTTGAAAGGGTTCCAAAGGCTACTGGGATGAGAGGGTCATCTGATGGAGACAGATTTTCTTATTTCCTCTTGAGAGAAGAAGGATAAGAGGTGATCTTGAAGTTTATAAGATTATTGGGGGGGATCTATAGGATAAAGGTCTCTAGTTTCTTTGTGCTATATTTGAAATGCAACAAGATGAGAGGACACAAGTTTAAGATTTGGTAAACAGTTTTATTTTTCTAACGAGGTGAATGATTTCTGGAATGAATTGGCACCAGCAGTATTGGAGGCCATCACTTTAAGAAGAGGATTTGATAATTTGTTGAAAAAAGTAAATGGAGAGTGTAAATGTTTTACTCTTCCCAAGGATGGGTGTGTAAGGACAGCCCTGATGGACCAAAAGATTCCTTGTTGTCAATTTGTTAAGTAAATGTCTCTAGAAGTAAACTGTTCAGTTTTTACCCCATAGATTTCTGTGAAAGAACTGGCTTAACTAATTATGAAAAAAACATGCTTCAGATAAGAAGAATCAAATATGGTAATGTGTATTTTACTTCATGAACTGCTAGCACAATATGACATTTACTCACTTTTTACAATTTCACGTGATATCACTCACAAGTAATCATTAAATAGCTTTAATGTAAATAATAAGCACGTTCTGAAGTAGAATTTTTGATTACTTAATATTAAGTAATAAAATATTACAACAAAAAATGCCCGATTCATATTTTAAACAGGAATATTCCAACAACCCCACCATAAATTCCTAAGGAACTGTCCAACTCCTATCCATAACTGTCATCACAGTTGACACAAGTATTTGAAGTTTCTATCAGTAGTATCTATAATCCTACAAAATTATCAATTTGAAATAACTATTCCCTCATTCAGTAGAAATTTAGTCCAAATTCAAAAAAAAGGGAACAAAATATTTTCAACTAAAATTATAACAGTAAGTCACTACACTTTGTAAAAAACAACTAGAAATAACAAGTGCATGGAAAATAATTTTTTTTTTTTACAATAACGTTTTAGATATTTTTGAAAGTTAACATTAACATGATATAAAAGCTAATTTTGATAAATTTCAGTTTTTAAAATGTTACGAGTTGGATTAAATATTTGATGAAATACATTATAATTGTTTTCAAATGTCAAAGAAGTTAGAAAGACAGATCAGTACTAAGGTATGGGGTCGGACTCTGCCGTTAAGTCTGTTTCTTAATACTTTGAATTCATTATTAAAGTGGATATTAGCACCAGATTAGAAAATTTGTCGACTATGATTAACTTAAGATACATCATTGTTGATTCACGACTTCAACTGTATTAAGCTAAAGTGTGTGACAAGAACCCTAGTGGAGAACAATATACCTACTCACTAAGTAATGTTTTTTATTTTGTTACGAAGTTTGAAAGAAAAAAAGACTAAATGCGAATACCTTGGCCTTCTTATGATAGGTGGGTGATGGCAAGTTTTAATATCATCCACAATCAGGATAACAACAAAGAACAGCCAGGACAAGTGGATATTTCATCTGCTGCCTTTCTAAGAGAATGTGGCTACATTTTTTTCTCTAACTTTGCAGACAAAATTCTAGACTTTCCAGGTTTGCAAATGCATTAAAGATACACATTGATATTCGAACTTTATCTCAGATTCTACCACTTTAGTTTGTAATCTGGCTATAAACATTTTAGAACACATTTACTTCGGACTATGGTACTAAAAATATCTTCAAACGTGGATACAGTTACATTTTTATTTATAAAACAATATTTGATCTCACAAGTCATCCAATAATAATGAATTGGATAATTACGATGAAATAAATTATCATAGGGAGACTGGTCAAAATTAAAATATACCAACAACTGGCATAGCTGAGCATCATGGGTTTGTGTGCACAATGCAGATTTTAAAATAAAAAGTCAGACTACAATTTTTAAATGAATTTTCACCCCTTTATCATATTCCCCAGCTAATGCAAGTTCATGGCCATTCTGCAAGATGGTAGCAGATTGTCAGCTGTAAGATGTGGCTATTCTGCAAAAAAAGATGGTAACAGTTTGTTAATTGAAACATATGGCCATTCTGCAAGAAGATGATGGCAAACTAAGCTGAAACATATGGCCATTTTGTAAGAAGATGAAACAGATTTTCAGCTAAAACATAGGCTATTAACTAATTGGGAATTAATATCTAATAACAATAATATTAAAACAGTAACTATTTAGTAATTCAGTCATAACAACTGCCATCTGATTGTCACAACCTTTTAAATACTTACAAATACACAATTCAAACCATAAATATAAAATAGTTACATAACCTCTAAAAGATAAGGGGAAGACTTGTCTAAGCTTTCCAAGAGCAAAAACTTCTTCCCCCTACAAAAATCATTTCTATATCCTGGGGCCATAATCAATACATAACTGGTACACTTCACATCCAAGCTGCCCGAGCAGAATCTATTAGATTGTAAGTGAATTTAATATTTTATGCACGTTTATTGGTAAAATTTGTGATAAAGAATGACTAAGACTACAAAAGTCATACAGGTATTTATTCCATTATATCACTAAGTAGTTGTGAATTTCTATTCCACAAATGTCTACCTGTACATAACCTTTGTTTTGGCTCATTCATTAAAATGCTTGAAAAACTATTTTTTTCCCATTCTTCACTTTTCTAAAAACAAAATTCTTTATAAAGATAGCAGATTATTAGCATCATGTGTCATGTAAGGTCAATTATTAGCATCATGTGTCACTTAAGGACAATTATTGGCATCATGTGTCACGTAAGGACAATTATTGGCATCATGTGTCACTTAAGGACAATTATTGGCATCATGTGTCACGTAAGGACAATTATTGGCATCATGTGTCACGTAAGGACAATTATTGGCATCATGTGTCACGTAAGGACAATTATTAGCATCATGTGTCACGTAAGGTCAATTATTAGCATCATGTGTCATGTAAGGTTATTAGAACATGATCAAGATCCTGTACAATCTATACTTCCCACCTGTCATTTTTATAAATGGATAGTGATATCAATTTCACCAATGACGTGTAGATACAATAAATACTAGTATATTAGTGTTTTTAAGGCTTAACCATTCAGAGAGTTTAACAAGACAAAGTAGCAGCTCATGTTTTAGATGAGATGAAAAAAAAAGGTTTACTAGGACAACTAAGTAAGATTAAAACTTAAAATTCATGTTGCAGGTATCACTAAAATATTAACCAGAAAATACAAAAATAACACAAGAAAAAAAAAATGTTCACTAGAACAACTACCAAGATAAAAACTTAAAATTCGTTCTTTGCAGGAATCACTCAATTTTTAACTAGAAAATACAAAACAAACACACTCATTGTTTTTTTTTAAATCCTATATTTAGCTACTGCTGTATATATTTTTTATAAATTTGCATTATAAAGAAACCTCACGGGGATTAGCACAGGAGTTTAGAAAGTTTAATTTACACATTTCAATACATACAGCTTAAGACAATAACATAAATTCCTGTACAATGTTTGAATTTTATTTTCTTCAGAGAGATATCTATCAAGTTATTATATATATATCTGTTAAAAATATATAGTTAAAGAACATTTTGCATTTGTAGTTCCACAATAAAAATCAACAAATTTTAAAATGTCATAGAGCAAATGCTATTCTATATAATATAGGCATCAAGACAGATGGGGAGAAAATGAGGAAATACTAATAAAAGAATTGGAAGTGACTAGAATGACAGAATAAGCTGGATTTAAGTCAGTGGATGTAAACTGTTTTCTGTGCAAATTTTTTCTATTAAATACTGATGTCCAAAAACTGTATTGGTGCTCTGTCCATAGTGCTTGCTGTATGCACACACATCAATCAGCCTGGCAGGAGAACATCCACTGCAAGTCACATGACCATCTGCACCACAGTAGTTCATTTTTCATGACATTTGTTATTCTTTTTTTTTTACATGTGAGGAAAATGAATTTTTCAATTGACACTTCACTTGTTGTTCGACAGAGCATTTGATAACCTGTAAATAAACCGAGATTTTTCAATCAACTCTACAGCATCAAGACGACGTGTTAAAAAAATAATGTAAAAAAAACGTTTCATAAAAGAATCTTACATTAAGCCTTACTAGTCATATTGTACTAAATTAATGAGAATATTTTTTGTGATAACTATAGAATTGAGAGAAAAATAAGCAAATGTAATATTTTTAAGCAATTTCAGGGTTAAAACTTAAGTTGAAAGATATTAAAAAAAAGAGTTAATTCTTACTTATGCAATCAAGACTACTTGTATTTTACTGACCATGATCTAGCAGTTAATTATTTTACTGGTTCTAAAAACATTTTTTGTGATAAAAAGATGTAGTATATGGAAATTTATGGAAAGCTACTCAAAAAGGGCAATATTTGAACTGACAGACTACAGGGAAGACAGATAGTCAACAGTACCCAATACCCTCGATCTGACTGACACTCTTATCGTACACCCACGGCTGCAAAGAGCAGAGCATCATTTTGTGGCAACGGAATGTGAATCACAGGCCCTCACATTCACACTCAACACTAGGCCATGCTTGGGTCAATAAAAAAATTTAACCCGTGTCACTTAGGTGAAGCAACAGATCATGAGAAAGTACTACAGAGTTGGGATATCTAACCAACAATTGGTAAATGGGAAGAAAAAACATTAAGAGCTTTCTCTCTATTCTATTTCATTGCTCAATATTTCCAAAGTGCTTGTAAAATACATAGCTACAACCTATTACATTAAACAGATTCTTAGAAAAAAACCATGTGAAAACGTGATATTAGTTGCTTTGGAAGCTTCTGGAATTAAAGTATATTTTTTCCTCTTTATACACCAAAAAAACTTGTTATCATTGGAATAATAAAAAAGGTTTATTTCTTTCTTTTTGTACATTTACGGCAAATTCTTAATAGTGGAATTAAAAAAAAAGAATCTTTCTTCTTTTCACACACACACCGAAGAATAAGTACCAGTGCAAGTTAAAATAAGTATATCCATTGTTAAAACATCTAAGATAAATTAATACTAGTGGAATTTAAAAAAAGCATTCATTCCATCTTGTACTAAAAGAAAATAATAATACCAAAAACATTTGTTTTCATACAGAAGACCAGTTAGTGGGTTCAAAAAGACAGGAGTATAAAGCTTTTCATTTTATGATCTATTGACTGTGGTAATCCTGGTTTAGAGGAATGATGGCGCACACTCCTGCTTCGAAGAATTGATAATATGGAACATTAGGTGAGAATAAGTGAAGAAAAGATGGACAACTTGAATGTGCACCATTAAAATCTGGAAGTTCTGGAGTTAGCTCTTCAGCTTAGACGACAGTGAACTCAAATTAAATGCAAAAATAAGATTATGGTAGCCCAAAGTGGGGCAAGGTTTCATTATCTTTAAGAGTAAGTGGGTAACCCTATTGGCACGAGATGGTACTAAGGCTGAAAGTGCAATGTCGAGTCTAGTGTGTCTGGGGCCTAACTTCCCCAGAAGATTTTAGAAATCAAGACTATCAGAAACACCATATCATGTATTTACTAGACTCTTTTCAAACAAAAATTAGGACATGAAAATGCAACAAATACTTGAACTCACATTCGTATTAGCTTTATTTGCATTACGAAAGTTGTACACTAGTTGTTCTTAACATCTTTTGTATAAATACGTTGAGATGTCTCTGAAGTAGGCAAAACTAGTTTGTTAATTTTGTGTGCGTGTGTGTGTTGCTATTTATTAGCTTAACCAATAACAGCATAATCACAATTCTTTGCACATGTAGGATCAGAGAATAGGCACGAGTATACTGCTGACTGCCCTATGATGTACGTTATACTTTCCTCACTTCTCGCTTACTTGAAAGCATTAGAAATGGCTTTGAAATGATTTAAAAACAAGTTATTTAAGGCTAAAAGAGACTAAAAAAAGGTTGTGGTTAAAGTGATTCTGGCGATAAAGTTTGTCCAGGTTAAAAAGTTGGCAGAATAGGCTTGTACAAAGCCAAAGTTCCAGGGAGGGAGAGATGTAATTTGCCACAGTAGATATGTGATTAACCTGGCATCTAATTAAAAATCCTGGTGATAAAGTTTGTCCAGGTTAAAAAGTTGGCAGAATAGGCTTGTACAAAGCCAAAGTTCCAGGGAGGGAGAGATGTAATTTGCCACAGTAGATATGTGATTAACCTGGCATCT